AACAAATATTGATATAATTTAATATAGGTAATGAGAATTAAAGAAAAGACAAATTTTCACCACGCAATTGGCATTCAGAAAGGGAAAAAGTAATAATATAAGTTCGAAATAAAGAAGAATATTAGTGTGTGCGCTACACTGCAACTATTTGACAAGCGATGCGTTGTAGCATGGCTTGTTCAAGACTGCAGAAATCCTTGGTACGGTACGCGAATATTAAATATTTTAAAAGTTGGAGTATTTAAGGACTTGGATGTGACGAACTGTTTATAGCTTTGAAGTTTATATTTTGTTCCCTTACTAAAACGATGGTGTTTAACTTTGTCTCTTTCTTAAATTACTGCGTGCTACTAACGCTGTTTTCTTAAAATTTGCTATACAGAAATAGCATAATTGTTGTTCTCAAATAATGTCTAACACATACAAGTATTAAGTAGTTTTTATTTCAAAAGTTTCTTTTACTTTCGATATTTAACGTTTCCAATTTTTACTCGCATCTAGATGTCTAATACGCTACGAATGTGGATACAAGTAAAAATAAATACGTAATCATTCTTGTTATTAAATACTCTTAACTGTCTTGACAGCAGTGATTAATGTGTATAAACATCTTTAGAGTAAAAATTTTTTATTTTGGACAATTTATATTCCAAAAGTTTGTTTTGCCAAATATCTTTAATTCAATTTTTAAAGTTTTCAGTCTTTGAAAGCATTAATGTACAACTACAGGATGGAGCACTTAAAAATAATATTTGTATACCTCCATCGCACATGAGTCTGTGAAAAACTAACGAGAACAATATTGTTTATTCAAAACAAATGCATGACAATGGATTTCGTATTCAAGTCTTTATTAATACTTGAGATAAAGAAGTATTAAATGCAAATTAAATAATGTGTATTTATGTGGTTTATTAATATACATTTGAAATATTTGTTATGAGAAAGCAGTTTATCTTTGTAATATCTCGATAATTTATATGCGATTACCAGCCAGGAATTCTTAAATATTTCATATTAATCCTTTGATTGCCAGGTCAATACACGAAGCTTTTGCGTCATTTTTCGCGTAGAAATCATAAGTGCATGAAAAAGTGAAGTACAAAGAAAATATTTTTATATTTAATGAAAGCTCGTTAATAATTTTGAAAATATGAAACGACGATAATAAGAAACTTCTCAAGTACCATATACGGATCTCCAAGCCACGTAGCTTTTGTTATAACTATTTCATGGATTCAAGTTGCAATGGATGTATTCAATTTACATATTTTTTAAATTCTCCATCCTGAGTAAGAATATTTTTGGAATTATAGTTCCGTAAACATAGTTTCTGCTAACGTTGTGAAAGTTGATGTCACTTACGAAGTATAAATAGTAGATTTCAAATGACTAAACCGATTTCAACGTGTAATTAAAGTCTTTATCATTTATTCTAGTGTACTATCTAAATCCTATGAGACTGGAACCTTTGAAACGTAATAAGCTTTTACTCTTGTAAAGTGAAATGAAAACTATTTCGACATTGCAAAATCTTCGATGTAAAACATAATCTCTATTCTAGTAGTGTTCATTAATGTAAAAACCATAGCAGAGAAGTTGAATCAGTCTGAAACGTACAAGCAGTATATGTTTTTTAAATAATTCTTGATTTGTTTGATTTCGTTCGTACTATTTTTTATTTTATTCTTCATAAAACTGTTGTGTCATTTAGTGTAATTTTCACTGTACCTACGGTGTTATACCGTATAATTAATATCAGCAATGTGTAAAACGTTCATTTTCATAATAAAGAAAAGTTTTACTATCGAGCATCGTCCAATCAATAAAAACATGTTGAGATTTGAGAGAAAAATGTATACTAATTTATATTTTGTGCCTTCTTTAAAACTCGTTAAATTAGTATGACTTAAAAGGTAATACATAGTTACAAGGCTGTAATACAACGAATGATTTTTGTAAATGCATCATTGTACATGAACTGCGTAATGTCATTTCGTATTACATGTAAACATACGATTTAGAAATATACTTTCTCTAGTAGAGTACAACTGTGTAATTAAAGATAAACACTACCAAATAGTTCAAATTTGTAACCAAAAAAAAATGAAAAGAACTTTTCAATTGGCCAGCACGTCTTTATAAGTAATGTTTAAATTATTCATCGTTACTATAAGAAAATAGATTTCTTACATTTTACATGAAAATTAGCCCCTTGAATTAGGCAACCTATACTAACAGATATGTCGTACCGGTTGCCTGTCCGTAGGCGCAAACGTGCCACCTCTTCGTACATCATGTGCTTCTGATACCAAACTGCTAAATCGGCCAGAATTCCGAAATGTACCGAAAATTAGACCCTTGACTTAGGCAACCTGTACTGACAGA